CACCAACTGTTCCTCTGGCAGCACCCAAAGCCTATCTGTTGGGTTCGATAATTCACTGCAGTGGCCACACAGAACTCACAGATTATGGGGTTTATTAGGGAAGCACCAGGCTACAATTCAAGTTCAGGAACAACATTCAGTCCCTTTCCCACCCCGCCGTCTTTCACCTAACAGCCTCTTTCAGTCTGTGTCCCAGCAATGGGTGTCTCTTTCTCAACAGCTCATGTCTCTCAGTGTCTCTTTCTCAGCAGTGCATGTCTCTCAGTGTCTCGTTCTCTCAGCAGTACTCTTTGCTCATCCAGAGGTCAGAGAGAGCATTCTGCCTCTAGGAGGCCTCCTTTTGACCCTGGCAGAGTGGCCAAACTAACCAATCATAACATCAGAATTCTAAGAACATGAGAGACAGCCAACCTCCCAGGACATTGCTTTGTGCCACACCTACTAGAAATACCCCCAGTGGATAACATTTACAATCAGGAGCTCCTCAGTTGCTCACAGGAAATTCCACCATGGAGTTCACAAAGACTTATGGCTGGAAAAGCTATACCAAGTAATTTACTACAGCGCAACCAATGATTTACTCATTGCAAACACCTTTTTTCGACAGCACAAACGGCAGCTATACACATGGATTTGACCAGATGGAACACACAAGAATCAGATTGACTACATCTGTGGCAAGAGGCGATGGAAAAGCTCAATATCTTTAGCCAAAGTCAGGCCAGGAGCTGATTGTGGAACAGACCATCAACTGCTCATATGCAAGTTCAACTTGAAGTTAAAAAACAGTTAAAACAAGTCCATGAGAGCCAAAATATGATCTAGAATATATCCCTCCTGAATTTAGAGACCATCTAAAGAATAGAGTTGATGTATTGAACACCAGTGACCGAAAACCAGAAGAATTGTGGGAGGACATCAAGAGCATCATCCATGAAGAAAGCAAGAGGTCACTAAAAAGACAACAAAAGAAGAGAAGACCAAAATGGATGACAGAAGAGACTCTGAAACTTGCCCTTGAGTGGAGAGTAGCTAAAGCAAATGGAAGAAATGACAAGATAAAAGAATTGAACTGAAGATTTCAAAGAGCAGCTCGAGAAGATAGAGCCAATTACTAAAATTAAATGTGCAAAGACGTCGAGTTAGAAAACCAAAGGGAAGAACACGGTCAGCATTTCTCTAGCTGAAAGAATTGAGGAAAAAATTTAAGCCTCAAGTTGCAATGTTGAAAAATTCTAAGGGCAGAATACTGAATATGCAGGGAACGTCAAAAGAAGATGGAAGAAATACACAAAGTCACTGTACCAAAAAGAACTGGTCAATCTTCATCCATTTCAGGAAGTGGCGTATGATCTAGAACCACTGGTACTGAAGAAGGAAGTCTAAGCTGCAGTGAAGGAGTTGGCAAAGAACAAGGCTCCAGGAATTGACGGAATACCCATTGAGATATTTCCACAAATGGATGCCGCACTGGAGGCACTCACTCAGTTATACCAAGAGATTTGGAAGACAGCCACCTGGCCAACTGACTGTAAGAGATCTATATTTGTACCCATTCCAAAGAAAGGTGATCCCACAGAATGTGGAAATTATAGAACACTATCATTAATATCACATGCAAGTAAGATCTTACTGAAAATAATTCCAAAACAGTTGCAGCAGTATATTGACAGAGAACTTACAGATGTGCAAGCTGGACTCAGAAGAGGACATGGAACAAGGGATATCATAGCTGCTGTCAGATGGATCTTGGCTCAAGGCAAAGAATACCAGAAATATATTTATTTGTGCTTTATCGACTGTGCAAAGGCATTTGATTGTGTGGATCATGACAAATTATGGGTAACATTGAGAAGAATGGGAATTCCTGAACACTTGATTGTATTCATGAGGAACCTGTACCTTGACCGGGAGACTATCGTTCAAATGCAACAAAGGGACACTATATGGTTTAAAATCAGGAAGGTTGTATGTCAGGGTTGTATCCTTTCCCCATACTTATTCAATCTATATGCTGAGCAAATAATCCAAGAAGCTGGACTATATGAAGAAAAACGTGGTATCAGGATTGGAGGAAGAATCATTAACAACCTGAGATATGCAGATGATACAACTTTGCTTGCTGAAAGTGAGGATGACTTGAGGCACTTACTGATGAAGATTGAAGAACACAGTCTTCAGTATGGATTACATCTCAATATAAAGAAAACAAAAATCCTCATAACTGGACCAGTAAGCAGCATCACGATAAATGGAGATAAGATTGGGGTTGTCAAAGAATTCATGTTGCTTGGTTCTACAATCAATGCCAATGGAAGCAGCAGTCAGGACATTAGACGATGTGTAGCACTGGGCAGGTTGGTTGCGAAGGAACTCTTTCAAGTGTTGAGGAGCAAGGATGTATCCTTTAGGACAAAGGTGCACCTGACACAGACCATGATATTTCCAGTCGCCTTGTATGCATGTGAGAGCTAGACAATGAATAAGGAAGATTGAAGAAGAGTCAGTGCTTTTGAGTTGTGGTGTTGGTGAAGAATGCTAAAAGTACCATGGACTGCTAAAAGAACTAATAGATCTGTCCTGGAGAAAGTGCAGCTGAGATACTCCTTGGAAGCGAGAATAGCCACACTTCATCTCACCTACTTTGGTCATGTTGTCAGAGGGGACCATTCCCTGGAGAAGGATATAATGCTTGGTAAGTGGAGGGTCGACAAAAGAGGGGAAGTCCTTCGACAGGATGGATTGACACAGTGGCTTTGACAATGGGTTCAAGTATAGCAGGGATCATGGAGCTGGCACGGGATCGGGTGGTGTTTTGTTTTGCTGTGCATGGGGTCGCTATGAGTCGGAAACAACTTGACAGCACCTAACAACAACAACAGTATTAACTGGTCTTCCTTACAGGTATATGGATATTATCCTATCACTGATAGCATTGTACTTCAGGATAGATCTTGAAAACATTCTTTGTGATGATGAATACCACTCCATTCCTCTTCAGTTTGTCATTCCAAGCATAGTAGATCATGTGGTTGTCTGATTTAAATGGCCAAAACTGGTCATAGTGCCTAAGGCACTTGACTGCTAACCAGAAGGCTGGCGGTTCAAACCCACCAGCCACTCCGTGGAAAGAAGATGGGGCAATCTACTTCCATAGTGATACTGCTTCGGCGCCCCAAGGGGGTCCCTATCAGTCGGGTACGACTCAACAGCCCAACAACAACACAACAACAGTGTCTAGGATATTAATCTTTATACATTCTATTTCTTTTTTGACAACTTCCAGTTTTCCTAGATTCATATTTCTTAAATTCCATATGCCGATTATTAATGGATGTTTCCAGCTGTTTCTCCTTAGTTGGAGTCATGCCATGTCAGCAAATGGAGGTCCCAAAAGCTTAACTTTATCTATATCACTAAGATTGGTTCTACTCTAATGAGGCAGCTCTTTCCCAGTCATATTTTGAGTGCCCTCTGAACTGATGGGCTCATCTTCCGGCACTGTGTCAGACAGTGTTTCAGGGCTATTCATAAAGTTGTCTAGTAATGTATCAAACAATGTTTCTCTGCTGTTATAAGGTTTTCCCTGGCGAATTCTTTGAGAAATGGATAGCCTCTTCCCTCCTCCATGTCTGTCTTAGTCTGGAAGTGCAACTGAAACCTGCCCACCAGGCGCAACCCTGTGTGCATTTGAAACACTGTTCATACACACTCCAGCCTCACAGCACACCCAAGCCACCCCAGTACGACAAACTGATAGACAAGTTTGTCTCTCTTAGCTGTTCCAAACCTCTCTGCCTACTTTCTGGTCCTCCCCCTACTTGTTCGCCCTCAGCCCTGGCTGCTTCCGCTGGCTTCCTACCTTGGTGGGTTCTCTCCCTCCTTCCCTTTACCTGGATTGGGGCCACCCGGCCGTGGCTTGTTCCGACAGCTTCTTGCCGTGGGTGCGTTCTCTCCTTCCTTCCCCTTACCTGGATCGGGGCTGCCAGGCCCTGGCTTCTTACGGTGGCTTCCTGCATTGCTCTATACTTAGACAAATAGTGTTTGTCTGTCTGATTTAGTAGAAGGCAGCTTGTGTATTCAATGTGTTTCTGTAGGTTGTTTTGACTAAAGTATATGAAGAAATTCAACTTCACACATATGTAGTTGGAAAAGTACTTTAATAGCTTTTTAAGGTAATTATGGGACTTTTTGATACTAAACAAAACTAGATAAGAGGTAGTTTCTTAAGAATTGAGACTGGTTAATTTCAGAGATGATCATCAAAAATACTAAAGAACTTATTATATATTTTGTAGTAAAGCACGGAGTGTTTGTATTGGACTCCGTAGGTTTTTACTTGATGTGAGGAATCAGAGTGGGAGATGTAACTAAGCCTCATGGAAAATAAAGGAGTGGCCTTATGTATTTCTGAGGTTTATAGAGACCCCTCATGGAAGACAATTCCTGTTACAAATATACGTGATAAGTGTATCTTTTTAGGGTATATTTGAGATAAATATAATTGAAACCTGATTCTTCTGTTAGCTGCTGGGAGGTCACCAGCTTATATTTGTGGCTATGGTTTGAAAAAGAAGCAGCAGTTGGCAGGTGGGACCAGAAGACATTTTTAGAGGAGAGAATTCTAAGGAAGGAGAAGGAATGTGATAGTGATATCTATTACTTAATAACATGGTGATAAGTGCAGGGTACCTAACTCAGGTTTTGAAGGCAGATAGATTGTTCTCTATAAGAAGGCAAATGGACTATTAATTGTCATGAGACAAAATGTATATGAATTGCTGTATGGAAAATGAATTTGCTCTGTAAACTTTCACTCAAATCACAATAAAAAATTAAAAAATAATGAAAAAAGAAGACCAATAGACTATTATAAATGGTACCTGAAGAGGGGCTTTGGCTAAGCTATAATCTAATACTCCTACTTTAGATCGGAAACTTTCTCTCATGTATGATTGTTGTAAACTCAGTTAATACAATGTTGGTATTCTTTTTGTCAGTCTGTAGATATACTCTTAGAGCCATGCAATGACCATGGTGATAGTGAAGATGGCTGTCTCAAGAGGTAAGCATTTTCTGTTTTGTATTTGCCGAGTAATAAATAATTTTTAGAATTGGAATTATTCTCAGATTTGGGTGAAAAGTTTCATGACTACATTAAAATACATAGTTTCGATAATCTCAAAATCAAGCTTCTTGTTGATATTAGGCATATCCACCATGCACCCACTGCCATCAAGTCAATTCCAACTCATAGTGGCTCCCATTGGGTTTCCAAGATATTTGGCTGCTAACCAGATGGTCCGTGGTTCAAACTCACCAGCTGCTTTGTGGAAGGAAGATGGGGCTATCTTTAAATTATTTTAAGAAAAGATTTAGAAAAGAAAAACCTTCATGGAAGTAGATAACCTCATCTTCCTCCCACAAAGCAGCTGGTGGGTTTGAAGCACTGACCTTCTGGTTAGCAGCCAAATATCTTCCCCACTACCCCACCAGAGCTCCTTAATATTAGACATAGAGAATATTAAATATTCAGAAGGATGTAGGTTCAGACCAAAATACCAGTTATAACTTGGTAAGCTTCTTAGAGATACCTCAAACTTCAGGTGATTTGTGGAAGAGTTGGGAATCTATTGATATTCTGAATACTTGTTTCAGTGAGTTAATTCATGGTCTTGGACTGTTGATGACTAAGTGAAAGATTATGGATACCATTTGCTTCAACAAACATGTACAGGACATTTCTAGTCCTGTTGGAGCTCACCTGCGTGTGTCCCAGTATGGCATTATTCACTTGGTGGTTATTTACCTCCCTGGTCAGTTGTAATAGGAAGGAGATAACTGAGGCAATGAGTATTTCAACTGTGAATCATTTGTAGAATCTCAGTACCTACCTGCCCTTTGAAAAGAAGTTAGAATATTTTAGATTCACTGGGTAGGATTTGGGTTATTTATCCTTTGTATCATTCTTGAAGACTCTTAAGAAATACAACTTTCTTGGAAAAGATGTTTTGATATCCTGAAAACACATCAGTAATGAAGTTCCACACTGAACTGCTATACATAGAAAGAAATCTCAAAACAACATCACTAAATCGATGATAGCATTAAATGCCATTATCTCCTTTGTTGTGAGTACGAAACTTAGTCTCTGAGGGTAAGTAAATTCTTTGGAGCTCTGTCTCTGGAGCTTCCTCATACTCTGAAGGTCCACAGATTTTCTGCTTACAGCAGTTCCATGGCTTTCTTTCAGGAGGCAGGAGTGATCCTCTTCCAGCACAGGGAGTATTGGAGCTATAGGCTGAAGATTTAAGATTAACAGCATTAACAGACATCCCCAGAATGATGACATCTGGATTTGATAATAAGGACCAATTTAGTGAGGACTAAAATCATTTTTGAAAAAACTCTTTCCTCTTCAACTTGTGTATAGGTTAGAAAACTTGTTTTTGGATCCAGTGAGTACATGGGTAGATTATATTTTACATGCTTAACACTCAAGTTTCTCAAATTTGAGTGACTTGTTTTTGTCTATTTGGGTAGAATTTAGCTCATCCCACTATTTTGCTCCCACTCCAAACAAGGGAAGGTTGGGCATTCCTACTTCCGTAGTGATAACTGCCTCGGAAACCCAAGGAGGGGTCACTATGAGTCGGGGATGACTCGATGGCAAACAACAACAACCAAACAAAGGAAGGCCTTTGAGTTTGTCAGGGAATTTAGTTCATATCTTATCCTGAGTAATAATAATATTAATTATATGATGTAATAACTTAACATATTTAGATCAGAATCTGTCTTCTGAGTTCACACTCGGTTATGGCCAGGTAGAAGCTGCACCTGCATATATTACTGTAAATTAGCATAGTATCTTTGGGGAAATGAAATTTTCCACAGAAGGCATATTGATAACCTGCTGTAATACCAGATGCTCTGTTGACTGATAAAATAAGTCTGGAACATTTATGATAGTTTGCTGTAGCACTTGTTTTAAATAGGGGTTAATTCTTGTGGGAAAACAAAAAGCAAATGAAAATTTAAAAAAAATACCATTTTACATGTTGCTGTTTGGAGGAAGGAGAAGTTTACAACTATCCTTGTTTCATTATGATAGAACACAATCAGATTTAGATTTTAAATAAAGGACATAGATCTATCTCTAAAAAACCCCTCTTTAAAAGACAAGAATGTCTTAGAGTGGAGGTGAATAAAACTGGTTCATAATAACATTTATTTTCACAAAATATTTTCTATTATACATTCATTCTTTGTGGTTTCTATTGTGAATTTCTGTTGTCCCTTTTAAAAAGTTTTCATTTTTTGGGGTGTGGGGGGGGTTGAGCATAACTTAATTTTTTTAAACCTAAAGTGATTCTGTGGATCTTTTCAATACTGTGTGGTTTTCAGATACAGGGCTTCAAAGAATGGGCATATATCCCGTTGTCATTTTCACCTCTCATAGTGCTATTAGAGAAGAGAGGACCCTAGGTAAGAAATACACAGTGGTATTAATTAACCATTTTGTTCTTAAAACACTAATAACTTTGCTTGTATTTTTAGGAAAGAATATTTGTCATTTGACAGTGGTACAGTGTCACACTTGATTCTGGTAAGAATTACTTTTATCTGGTGGTTCTTAAAAAGTTGACTATATTTAAGGTATCAATCATTATATCCGGTCTTTAACTCTTGGGTGTAATAGACTTCAAAGAGATTTGGATACTCTTATGAATGTTTTACAGTTAAGCAGCAACCTCGATTTGCCACTTTTGGTTATAAGATACTTGGTTATGAAAGTACTTTTCTCGATTTGGAATCCAAACTTTGTTTGCTTCCAGTAGAATGTGTTTAAAAACTGCCAGTTTATATTTGAAAATAGTTTAGATGGTGGGAGTGGGACAGTTGGCTATACAGGCAAAGTAAGCTAGTGAAGACTCATGTGTATATGTATTGGTTGTCATTTAACCTGAGTGTGGAAAGCTTTGTGGTTGTGAAATGTATTCTTTATTTTAAAACACAGGAATCTAGTAGCAGGATATGTGATTTGAATGCCAACACTCAACCAGAAGTGCCAGGCAGTCAAAGTGTTGGTGTTCAAGGGGAAGCAGCATGTGTCCAAATTCCACATTTAGATCTGAAGAATGTTTCTGATGGTGACAAATGGGAAGGTAATTTTACCCACACACATTATTTTTCCTGATAATGCTGTTTGTATCTGAAGTTATTCAAAGCAATGAGATTACTGGCTTTTTCTGGACAGCCTTCTTTATCTTGATCTTCTGTTCTTTTCATATAAGATGAGCATTTTTTTATATACCCACTCTGTTTATTACTGTGGCTAGGTTCTAAGGACCAGATCATTATGTGAAAAAGGAGGATGACCACATCTGATCACAAAATGGAGGATGATTACATCATTCCATAACTGCCAGATTAGATCATTACATAACTGCCAAACGATTGAGAATCATGGCCTGCTAAATTTGCACGTAGCCTTAACTGTCACAGCCAGTGTTACTCTTGCTTTATAATTGGTATTCCTTATTGCCAGATGTATGTCATTAATGTGAAAAATAGCTAGATAGACTTTTTACTATGGTCATAAATTGTAAACTATTGGTTAACTAGGTAGTCAATAAATGAGAAGTGGTATACTTAAATATATTGTGAGATTATCTTGTATGAACTAGAGGTTCCTATTAGATCAATGGATTTGAAGATGGATGTTAGAAATAATAACTTAAAAAAAAAAAAAAAAAGTTACCCTAGGGTAAGCTCTTGTTAATTGTGAAATTTATGCTAGAGACATCTCCCAGTCTTTGTTAGGACTTCACCATTTTAAACAGAGGGGTCGTAGTTATATTTATGATCATCAGCAGTACTTCTTCTTCTTTTTTTTTTTAAATAATCTTCAAGATTACTTCTGAGTATATATTGTACTGTATTCTTGTATCCCTGTATTAGGGCTGAAAATGAGAGAGGCTAACAATTTACACAAAGGAGAATAGAGGTTTAAGTTTCAAAGGCAAGCAGCATTAAGTATATGCATTTGGTAAAACTGAGCAAATGTACACAGAATTTTACATTTCATTGTGTGTGTGTGTGTGTGTGTTTATTAATATCAAAGAACAAAAACCCTGTAAACACATACTGAACTCCAGTGAATGGTTTGCATGCTGCAGTGTTTAGGGAGAAATGTACTAATATCTGCAGTTTACTTTGAAATCCATGAGAAAAATAAGATGGTTAATGGGCTGGTTAAATGTTATAAAATAAATACAATAAAATGTATTTATGATGATTGTCATATGGATGCTTACTGTAAATTTCTCTTCAGCTTTGCTGTATATTTGTAAAATTACAAATAAAATGTTGGGGGGATTAATAAATAGCAAATTTGGACCCAGTAGTCCTTCTGAATCACTCACTTTTCCTAAGTAAAGAGACAAAAAACCAACTAAGGAATCTTAAGAGAGATACATATTTGCTCACTTGGTTGAAGATCCCTGAGTTGTCTCATCTTTTGCCAGTTACCTGATGACTTACGATGGCAAGAACAAGGACTAATGGAATGTGATGGACTCCTTTTGCCACCCTAAGTCTATTCACCTTTTTTTTTAAGTTCGAATCAATTTTTTTTAAAAGCCCCCAACCAAATCTTTGTCTGCGCCAATCTTTATTGCTGTCCACTCCCCTCTCTACTTTTTTGGTCTTGATGTTTAGCATACCTAGTGGCATATTAGGTGTATTAACACAGACTAAATTGGGGAGTTGTCTTTGCTTTGTTCTGGGTTATTCCAGACATTTGGTGTTCATGAAGACACTCCCTAGATTTATGTTAGTGTATGGATGGTGGTGAAGATCAGTTGTCCTTTTTAGTTATTTTTCCTGGCATTGTCACTGAAAAGGAGTGGTGGTTTTACTAGGAAAATAATCTTTGAAAGATGAGGCTGGGATTCTGTTAAAACCCTTATAATTCTTCCCCTTAGAAGATGCAGATAATAAATAACTCTTTATAATCTTTGGCCTAGAAATCCTGTTCTTAAGTTTTAAGAATAGAAGAACAGTTATTTCCATTTTCTGAGAAAGATTGGACATTCTTTGTGAAGCTTTAGCTTTCTGGAGCTACAACCCCCCTCCCCACCAAGGGAACCTGATACTGGGCTTTCTTTTTTTGTCACTGTCAATACATTCCCCCCTACATCTTGTAATGTGAAAAAGATGTAACATACGAAGTACTGATCTCTGATTTTCAGTGCCTCGAATGCCCTGTTATCTTCCTGGTTTAACAGTAGTGATAAGTCCACAGGGGCTTCCTGCTGTCTCACCAGTGACTTAGAAAGCCAGAGATGGTGGTAGACAGTTGAGTGGACTTTCCAGTCATGAGCCTGTCATGTGCAACTGTTAGCTGACAGGTCTTTCCAGTTTTACTACCAATACGAAGACTCAGTTTTCCACAAATATAGTCAGAATGTTCTAAATAGAAAAGTTTTCCTTAAGAGACCAAATTACTTAAGACCCTAGATACCTTGGAATCAAAAATACACCTGTTTGATGTAACTCTTAGAAAAGAATTGAGTGGACTCTAAATAGAAGGCCACCTTACTATTCCTAAGTATATGGTTTTGTTTCTATATTGCTTAAAAGATAGTCAACAGAATGAAATTAGCAAGCAGGTAGCACATGACTATTACCAACATGAATTGGTAGCAGCTGTTCAAAAGGTCTTGGCTGTTAGCAGGAACGGACACCATCTTTCCTTCGGATATTCTCCTGCTTGTTCTAGAATGAAATACAGTAGAATCTTTTCAAAGAGCAAATTAAGGGATGCTGCCCCCCATAAAATCAATAATACTGAAAAGCTTCAAACAGTATCTGCTTAAGATTTTCCATTTCTTCAGTTTTATGCTTGAGTTTTAATAAAACAGCACTACTTTGATTTTTCTGCCTTGCTTGCTGAAATGGAAATGTATGTTTGCGTGTGTTTTAAAAGTTTGGTTAGTAGTAATTGCTTTGAATAAAGTTTTTGAGCAGAATGCTTAACTGGTTTTAGGGAAATGTTTTTGGTATCTTTGGCTTTGTGTTAGTTATGTGTATGGTTTGTTCTGACTGTGCTGTGTGTTCACTTTAGTATTTTTTGCCATTTTTTTCCATTTTATTAGCGTCATGCCCTATCACTTTTCCCCTCATTGATTTCAAAACAATGCATCTGCAGAGAGATGGGGAGGGTAAGTATGGTTCACCATAGTTTAGTGGTTTTTGTTTTTGTTTTTGTTTTTTTGCCTTTTTATGATTCACTTTATTTGCCTTATTATTAGCCCTTCTCCTGCTGCCCCTATATCCTAGGAACATTGTTCTGGGTTAAAATGATACCCAGAGAAAATTGTTTTTGTTATTTCCCTCTCTTCTTAAAATAGGAGATTTCACATAAAATATTATCAGTTGCTTATTTGCTGGGAAGCAGGTACAAGGGTTGCTTTGAAAATCACTTTATTGCTGGGTTTATTGTGGGGTTGCACGCTTTGTATCCAATTTTTGGTTATTAGACTGATCTGGGCTTCAAAAACTAACCAATTTATGTTACCACTCTGAAAAAAAGTAATCTTTTAAATTGCTAATGCATAAATGCTAAACTAAATTACTAAAGCCATAGCCCTTTTTTCAGTGAAGAAAAAGAAAACATCCCTTTTGAATTTTGACACTGTCAAGCTATCTTTGCATTAAAATACTTAAAATTTCATTTTATTGTATTGCTTATAGCCGTAGATCAAAGTTTTAAATTGTATTTATATATTAAGCTAATGTGTAGATGGAAAAGTTTCTTCCTCTATTCTGGTCTCCATTGGTGCTTGAACTTAATTTTGTATTTGGAATATGTTGTAGATTGTGTGTATATCTGTATGTGTTCTATATATAATTAAGCCTTATATGTGCAAAAACTTCAAATATATCAGTTTAACTTAATTTGAGAACATCACAGGATAACTCCTAGAAAAGAAATGTACTTAAGAAGGATTAGTGCTATTATGTTTTGTCTTGATAATGCTGTTGGGTGTTTAACTGCATAGCCATTACAAAGGAATCCTGTGACAGGAGAGAACCACCACAGTTTAATGTCAGAGGGCAGGTGCTATCAGGTGAGTTAGCTGCTTGTTTGGAAATGTTAGAAATTTTCTGGAGTCAAAGAGCTGTGTTTGGTAAGTGTTCTGTGTAGCCTTTTGAATGCAGAAGAGTTTCTGCATTTTCTTAACATAGCCGCTTGACAGTGAGAGGGACAGTTTATTCACCTGACAGGATTTGGCTCTAATTCTTAACAAAGAACTATTGAGTGTATCCTGTTTCTAAATGAAGACTTTTCCCTACTTGAAAAATAACTGATGTAATTCTGAAGAGCTTGACAGTGTCTTTTCTTGCATTACCATTGGGTTCAGAAATTTAAGGTATAGCTCCTTATGTGAAAATAGAACTCTGAGCTAGAAAATAAAGCTCAGATAATTTCAAATTCTAGTAGGTTTTATGAAGATCCTAATACCCCTTTTTTAAAAAAAAGTACATTTATATAAATATATGAACCGCTTCATTATTATATGATCCTTAAAGAACATACGGCTCATATTTTGTGACTTTATATTCTATGTGGAATCAAGAGACCCACGGTACTATTCTATGTATTTGTTTTGTAGATCCATTTCCTGCTTTTAAGTCATGGCAGGAGGACTCTGAATCTGGAGAAGCTCAGCTCTCTCCACAAGCTGGAAGAATGAATCATCATCCCTTGGAAGAAGACTGTCCTCCAGTATTATCACACCGTAGTTTAGATTTTGGGCAAAGCCAGCGTTTCCTACATGATCCAGAAACGTTGGATTCCTCATCTAAAGCACTTTCTTTTGCTAGGTATATGATTTTTAGGTACTTATGAAAGCCCAGGACCTCTGAAAGAGAGAGAGTCTAAAGACTCTTTCACCCCTATTTCATGAAGCAACAATTTTGTAATTTTCATGTTTTTATTATTTTATTTTGATTTGGGTGAAGATTTACAGAGCAAATTCACTTTCCATACAGCAGTTCACATATACATTGTCACATGTCATTGACCACAGTTTACCACAGTAATTTTCATGTTTTGAGGCCCTCTCTGTTAAATTCTCAGTTTGATGAGGGATAGTTTTTTGGTGTTTGCTTTCTTACAGACATTTCCTCACAATGTATCTATTCACTCATTTATTCCTTACTAAAATACAAAACTTGAAAGGGTAGCAGCAGGTGGAGCTCACCAGTCCTTAATGTCTTTCTTTATTGTCAAAACTTTAAATTGACTTTAAATAAACTTTAAAATGTTAGAAATTTTCTCTTGCACGTTGAACATCAAACAAGCTCTGAGCTGCTAGGCATCTTTGTCTGTTTTCTGCCTTTTCCACACAACTTTTGAATGATTTAAAACTGCTTTTGTGACTATTGATGTGAGTTAATTTTGTGGTCTCAAACAGTATAATATTGAAGTTTCTTTTTACTACTTGTCTCTTAGTGTTAGGGATTTACTTTCACTTTAAAGGTGAGCTTTTTCATAATTATGTCAGGTTATATCAGGGCCACGAGAGAGATGCTATTGATACTTGAGAATTTGATTAACACTGTGTTGACCTCTCATTTTAATTCAGGATTCGAAGATCATCCTTTAGTTCAAAAGATGACAGAAGAGAAGATAGAACACCTTATTATTTGGTCAAGAAACTTCAAAAAAAAATCAGACAATTTGAGGAACAGTTTGAAAGGGAAAGAAATAGCAAGGTAAGTTCATAACATTGCCCAGTGTGAGTTATGTATAAAATTAGAACTGAGAGAAGGGTTTTTGAGAGCGTTAGTCTTAGCTCTGTCCTGAGATAGATAAGAAATCTCAGATGCCCAGAGAAATAAAGATCATACAGACCTGCGACCATATAAATCATTGGCTTCCTGGTTTCTAGGCTAGTATTTTTGCCATAGCACCATTGCATCTTTATATTTCCATCGGCAAAACAACTTTTAGAATTTTTACAGCCAATACTTTATATTGATAAATCATGTTACTACTATGTCTGTTCCCTCAAAAGCCATAGGTACTAAGAGGAGCGTGTGCATGCATGCTTGCATGCATGTTTTTGATCATTAGACATGTGAAGTAGAAAGATCTGGCTTATGCCTGTTAGCTTAGACCCTACCCTGTGAGAGCTTTACTTAATATTCTTACCCTCCTACTTGAAGTAAGATCAGATGAGGGTTGAGTGAAATCTGTGATGTGGGAATTGTGAAATACTATTTGGACATAAATTAACATAGGCATTGCTTACCACACACAGGTGTCAGTGATTCCTTTCCTTAAATTTTCAGCCCTCCTACAGTGATATTGCAGCCAATCCAAAGGTATTAAAATGGATGACAGAGCTTACCAAACTACGAAAGCAAATTAAAGGTATAAAATGTGCCATTTTTGTAGTATATTTTCATTTTTAAAATGTTCAGTTTTTTTCATTTCAAAGTTTATGAAAATTATAGTTACAATTTTTAATCTTTATCACTGGCAAAAATAAAGTTTATTTTTATTCTTTTGTAAGAATAAAATTTGCATACCAAGAGATGGGAAATATTTTAATATACTATATTCTTAGCATGTCTTTCCTGTGTTTTTATTAGAAATATATGTATATATATATTTTTTAAAGTTTTTTTCAGAGTTATAAAAGACATTTGCAGTCATGAGGCTCTGCATTCATTTTATTTCTCCATTTTGTTTCTAAGTGTGATTTTTATTACCATTTTAAAAATGGAATTTTAATAAAACATATATAAAATTACTGAAATACCTCACAAAATTCTACATTACAGTTTGAAAATCACTGCTTCTAACTGCTTTCCTCGATTTACCATTGAACTTGTAATATGACCTTAAATAAGTCATAGCTCCTTTATGACCCTTATTTTCATAACCTGTAAGATGAGGAGGTTGTACTCCATTGTTTAGATCTCAGACCTTTTGAGAATATGTGAGAAGCTAAGGAGCTTTGTCTTTGAAAACTGCATAGTGGCTTGCACACAGATTTGCATACAATTTCAGAGGGTACACTGACCCTCTTCCCTAAGCCTATCCAAAAACTTAAGAACCACTGGACTAGATAATGTAAGATTAGTAATAATATTTTAAAAGGTGTTCTTCTGTATTACACATTTGTAGATGAACTGATTTTATAAAATTTATCTGAAATCTATTTTAAATATTAAGCAGTTTAAGTTTTTGGCAGTAATAAATTCTTTGGTGGGTATTTTGTCTAGACTAATAATATCTAATCAAAATTAATTGTTTATTCTAAAAGATTGGTAAGTCTTCTTGAGTCAAAAACTAGGACTTACATTTCTGTGTGTCAGCCTAGTACAGAGTTGTTAAGGTATATGTATTTAGTTTGTGTTTAGTGAGTATGCTTTTTTAATAATTGAAAAATTATCTGTGCCAGTTATGGGTTTACAATCTGGAAGATCACATTTTATTTATTTGAATGTATTCAACAAAAATTTTAGCGTCATGTACTTTGTAGATTCAGGGGATATAGCAGTAAATAAGACAAACACAATCCCTACTGTCATGGAGTTTACATTCCTGTGGTTAAAATAAGTTCTCTAATTGGTAGCATAATGCCTAAGGGACTCGGCTGCTAACCAGAAGTCTGGCGGTTCAAACCCACCAGCTACTCCTTGGAAGGAAGGTTGGGCAATCTACTTCGGTAGTGATACTGCCTTGGAAACCCAGGGAGGGGTCGCTTTGAGTCAGTTCTGACTTGATGGCAGATAACAACAGCAACAATGACAATTCTTGTTCTTTTCTTTTTTTTTTTAATTGTGATTTGGGTGAAGATTTACAGAGCAGATTCACTTTCCATACAGCAGTTTTCACATACACTTTGTCTCATGACATTGACCACAGTTTACCACAATGCAACAGCTCCCCTCCCACTTCCTCCCCATAGTTACCTCTTCCCAGTGT